AGCATGACAATCGTTTGATTATGATGGTGTCTTTTGGTGTCAATTGTATATGTAAAACGGTTAAACAAAAAACAATGAAAAGTGCATGAAAATATATGATACATGCATCAAAGTAATATAATTATGTTGTGTATTTACATATGATGATTCGTTTTTCACTTTTCAGTAAACATGAAATGATCTCTTATACTAGGGTTGTGCACTTTTTAGGTAAATAAAATATACTAATGAGTAAATGATCTTAAGAAAAAATGAGAAAGAATCTGGACTGTCGAATTGTATTGTGTGAAGTTGAATGTGCATTATGTGACATTGAAATGTGCATTAGGCGAAACTAAAATGTGCTACATAAATAGTACGACACACTGACATTATGTGAAGTTAAATTTTGCATTAGATGAAATTGAAATGTGCATTAAGTGAAACTGAAATGTGCACAATAAAAGATACGATACGGTGAAACTTTTGTAGTTTTTATTCTGTACATTTCAATTTCAGTTAATTCACATTTGAGTTTTACTTTTTATTATGCATATTTCAGTTCACGTAATGCACATTTCAGTTTCACCAAACGCATTATTCAGTGTTATGCAATACAATTTACCGCTCCAGATTTATTCTCATTTCTCACGAGTCTTTTCTCATCGAAACCGTTCGGTGTGTGATGGTAATATCCAAAAAATACTAAATTTGAAGAAAAGATGTTTTATATAAATAATGTACATTTAAATTTATTTTGATATAAAGTGAAATTAATAATAATGCATAATTAATATATCAATGTCACAATTATTCTAATGTTGCTAAAATGCACTTTTAATATATAATTGCAGCACAAAGTAATGTTTCGTTCATGACTATAAGTTCTAATTGACAAAATCTAAATGGAAATTAATTTAATGATCCAGATTTGTAAAGAATTGAAGTGGTGCAATTTTTTGAAACAAAAAAATATTTCCTAAGTTTATTATTCACGTATGGTGTGTCAGCATATTGTTTTTACATATGTACCCTTTAATAGTTATTAGTATACGTATTTTCCTTTTAAGTTCTCCACTGATCCACTACAATTAATAGGTTTCAATTAATATCATTCTTCATCTGTAGTCATTCGTTTGATTGAATCAAAGTCTAGATTTCATTCTTATTTCTCTCCTGGGACACCGTTCTCATCGGAACCGCACCCTATATATATATATGTGTGTGTGTGTGTGTGTCATCATATTATGTTTCAAAAGATAAATTATAAACAAAAATATGTGGAGCGTACCTATAATCTCCAATGTACTTTTCTCAATGCTTACATTAACTCAAATTAGCATTAGATAATTTTTATAATAATACAAATAAGCATGGAAAAGGCAATAAAATGTTAACAAATTGATAAACATATCCATCATACATGATCATGCCAATGAAAGGGTACCAGGAGCATATTATTAAACAATAAATTCCAAAACAACTTTAGAAAATGCTATTACGGGATCGAGACTTAATTGATATCTCATACGGAGTATATGATTCAAATTATGATTATATCAAATATGCATCTAACCAATGATGAGTTTAAATTTCTCAAATTACAATTTGAGATATATTAGTAAAATTACTAAAACAATTTAAATCTCATATGAATAAATATTATTCATACCAAACTTTAACACTCAACATGATTGTCTAATTAGGATTAGCAAAGTTCATATTTATAAAACTGATGAAAGAGTTCTATAAAATAAATTAAAAATCACAAGAAGCTCATTTACACAAGCGTATTTTTCAAATTATTCTCTCTAGTCGGCAATCCTATTTTGGAATTTTCAAATTGTTTTAGTCCTAGCGGGAACCCTAATAGCGCCGCCACCGCCTAAGGAGTATTGCGTCGATCGGTGCCCGGAGAAAAGGTAGCGGCGAGGAATTGAAGCTTGAAGGGTGCTGCAGAAGGGTCGTTCACAAAAAGGCAGGGAGCAGGGGAACGGATCTGGGCGCTCTGGCCTAGCATCGTGAGCAGCGGTCATCTCTAAGTTTATCCTAGGTGTTGGTACCAGCGGCGCAGCCAGTCCGGTGGGTTCTCTCCAGCTCGTCGAGGCGATTGGGTTGCAGAATAGATCTTGTTTGGTTCGGACGTGCGGGCTGGGACTCCCTGGGAGAAGAACTCGCGGGCGCTGCTCTTCATCGATAGTATACCGGCGCTTCAGAGGGTCTTTGAGCAAGGCAGAGATGAAGGAGATTGTCAACAAATGTGATAAAATAATTCTCGAGGGTGAAGAGGACGGTCTGATTCTGAACGAGGAGGTTGCGGGCAAGGAAGAGACTCTGAACAGGAGCCAAAGGGTGAAAGAAAACGAAGAGATGATGATCCGTCCCCCTCCCGAACCGCCGCCATGGAGGAGTTGTGCGACTAGGGTTTGGATGACTACTTCTAGTTCTGTTTTACTTTGTTTGTGTTTTTACTTCGAACTTTATGTTGTTTTGCTTGTCATGTACGCTTATTTTTGCAAGACTCTTGCATTAGGTTGGGGTGATGAGGGGTCTATTTTAACCACGTTAGGCTCATGTAGACCCATTATAGGATCAACGAGCCATATTGCTTTTTCTAGGGTGATTGGCTCTAAGTCTGGTTCGAGGGTCGATGGTTGGAAATGGACCTTTTATCTTCTTGTTCCCTTGCTGAATGCTTTGATATCAAAAAAAAATTATTCTCTCTAGTCAAAATAAGTTTCCTTACATAAAGATAAACTTTCTTCTGAATAAGATATAAGATACATAGAATATACGAGTCATGAACTACTTGAGTCACAAAATAAACGTTAGTACATAGTATCGTTATAACTGCAAAATTAATTTGCAAGTAGTCTATCAATTAATAAAAATGTTAAAGACATGCATTAATATCCAACGGTTGTCAAACATTATAGTCTAGATCATTGGAATAAAGCAAATAAAGTAAGTTTACATGTTCCATAATAGGATTCCAAAGTGAAAGCACCTAAGGCCCTCATTATTTGTGCAACGTGTGGAAATTAAATGTAGGAATTAATATCATTTAATGGTAAAATAAAGGTCCAAACTGTTATTAAAATAAAGCAAATTATGAAATAAATTCATTTCAAATACTCTCAAAGTCTCAATTATTCCAACGTTGCTCCACATGTTTTAAATATTTTTTTTGTCAAAAGATTGTTGGGCTAAATGAGTGATTTTTTTTTCACGTCCATGGACAAAAAAAGGAGTTATTATACTCACCGGTGGGCGTAGCTCAACTGGTAGCAAGGGAGTGCCACAAGGGTTAGGTCCCGGGTTCGAATCCCGACAACTGCGATGAGGGGTTACTATGCTAAAATGCATAGGGCCTCTGCAAGTACCGGGGACAGAGCCTCACTCTCTATTTGTCAGATTGGAATTATAGTCCAATTTACATCCTCCCAACGTACCGTTCGGTCGGGGTTGGGGGGCCTCAGGGATGGGGTGTCATCCTTTTTTTTAAGGAGTTATTATACTCTTGGTGAAAACTCATGTTTTGGGAAACACATTCTTGAATTTCGTCAACTGTTGTTTTTAATACTCTTCCTACATGTATTTGAAGTAGAGCTTTTGTATACAAAGTAGTCTCTCTATTTAAGAAGCCGGACAACATTAGTTGAATATATAGGGATGGGATGGTCAACACTAATTACAAATTCAAGCATCCCATATGATTAAAACGAAAATAGAGTTTTCTAAGAAAACAGCCAACAATGTTTTATTATTGAATTAGAACATCAACATAATCATCTTCATAAATTTGCATACCAGAAATCGCCCTTAGATAGTCCTACACATATTTGCATACTAGAATTGGAGGTACTAATTGAAAATGGCCAAGGCCGTGGCTGCCGGTGGTAGCATCATAACACGTAAAGTAGACACATACACACGTGTACTAGACATATTATTGACTAGAAATATTCAAGACCTGGACGCTTATTCATTGATATATATATCAATTAACACATACTCCTGATAAAACAGTTCGAATAGAGATATACCTGGAATGCTATTTGCAACAACTTTAGTTTGAGGTCCGAACGTCAAATTTGACCCGTATGCTGCCAAATTTCAGAAATCCGACCCAATCATGGTCTCCAACCCATCTCTCCTCTAGTCTTTTGGAGAATTGCGCAAGAGAACTTCCATTTGAAGTATGTAAGCCACCCTCTAGCATCAATGATCTGACGTACGGCGTCTTTCAACGACGGGATCCGACAGTCGCTATTTCCAACGACGGAATCCAACGGGCGTACAACAATCAGGACAGGCTTAGGCAGCTTTGGCCTGGCTGAAAATATAGTATCTAGAACGATGAAGATGTCGATTTGGAAATATATTCTGAAGCCTTACTCGAATTGTGAAAACGTTTTATAAACAGATTCAAAGTTATCTCTTCATTAGCACATAGCACATATATATACAACTATACAAGGGAATTAGGGCTACGCTAGTTAATGGGCTTAACCTTAATGATACATATAGATCGGGGAGTAATGGACATCCACATATTACATAACAACATTGAATTTTTTGTAGCACTTGTGAATTAGTTTTTAAAAACAATTAATTTAGCACAGCTTGGCCCGGACCCGACCCGATCCGGTCCCGGTAAATAACTTCTTTTTAATGTTGGGCTGGTATATTACTTCTTTTTATAAAAATGCAACATCGTTAACTTCATAATGGACGCGTCTGCACGATCAGTTCCAGGAACGGTTGGGCTTGGGTCTGGGGCATAAAATTCAAATATTACGGGTCAGGTCTGGAACAATAAATCAATTAGCAGGGCTGGGACGCTATGTTGCAGCCCAGACTGACCCATTCACAGGCCTACCATCAAACACAGCCTTCCCAACCCCTAACTCCCTAAGTCACGGGTTCTGCACTCATGTGGCTTCTCCTGATTATTGCATGCATTCAAGCCTGGAATATAGCAGAATCTTATGCAAATGAGATATCAGTCATGATAAGACAACTTTTCTGGAAAGAAACTCATAGGCCCTAAGGAAAGGAGGACAACATCCACGCATTAACAGAATTTCTGAACACATACTGCATACAGTAACTTGCTCGCTGCTAATATTCAGTGGCAGAAACAATTGATACATAGTGTGGGGTGGGGGCACTTGTTAATACATACATTATACATCCACGTAAATCTACAGATACACTAGGACTAATAAGGTTAGTTCAATGGTGTACCCTAAGATGAACATGACTTTTTTTAACCTCAGGTCAACTAAAACAATAACATCTTCATATATGGCTCAGAATTCAACAACAGATCGATTTTGGCAGAAGGGATATGATTTAAAAGCCTATTATCATAGTACCATAGCTCCGTATACTTTCTGGGGCAACTCTGAAGCTTTGACATGCCCTCAACATCTCACAAGGAAGTTAACACTGTATTTCTCAATTATCATGTCTGGCAGTTGCAAGGTTAATTGCGTCCAAGAATAGTCAATAATTCAGTGATTGATCTGAATCTGCAACACAGCAACTTGAAATTATAATAAACGCCCTCTCTTCAGAAATATGTACGGGAATGTGTCTATCACTCTATTGTTGTAATAGGAAACTCAACAACACAGTACAAAATTAGAATTTTATTGATGAAGATTTCAGAGCTTGAACTGGATTACAATGGTGTAGACAGAAAGATAGAGAAGAACCCTTATTAATGCAATACAACAATTATTTAATATCATTCTATTATTATTATTATTATTATTCTCTATAGTTCAGGATCCTATCATATCTCCCCCTTAGACAACCACCTTGTCCTCAAGGTGGGTGATAGGAAAACAGCCTTGATCTTCAACATCATTTTTATCTTGGCACCTCTTCCCTCCTAGTACTTAACTGATTGCGGGACCATGAGCTTCGGAATGGAACTTCACCACAAACAGGGGCAGAGGCCAGAGGAAATCTACATCTGGTTCATGCATTTTTCTAGGCCCTAATATCATTTCCTGGTGGTCTAGAAAACAATTGAGGGTAGCAAGATCTTCAACAGAAGCTGAATACAGAAGCCTAGCAGATACTACATCAGAACTTTTATGGATTCAATTTTTACTCAAAGAACTTCAAGCTCCTTTTATCACTCCAAGAATCTACTGTGACAATCTCAGTACAATCCAGCTTGCTCACAATCCTGTTTTACACTCTCGCATAAAACACATGGAAATTGATCTTTTCTTTGTAAGAGAGAAAGTCCATCTCAAACAGATTGAAGTCTTTCACATTCCAGCTTCCCAACAAATTGCAGATGTGTTGACCAAGCCTCTGTCTGCTTCCACTTTTCTTGAGTTCAAAAGCAAACTGAGTGTGACTGATTTTCCAACTCAATCACCCTCAATTTGAGGGGGGGATGTTAGGAATAGTATATGAATACTACTCGTGTATTACTTTGTAATTAGAATCTGTTAGGCTCCTGTTATGTTAGTTGTAGTTAGTTATGACTACAGCTTCTATAAATACTACGTAACTTTCTATTCTCAATGAGAATATCATTTTCCGTCTTCTTCCCTGCTCCTTTTCTAATAATACCAGGCCTAATTCCAAATATAATTTCTGCCTAACTCCCTTATTCCCTCCTTCCCACTCTTATAGTAATTATATTCTTACGGGCCGTCCCATATTTTCTGACATGGCCCAGAACCCCTATTTATGCAATACAACAATTATTTAATATCATTCTATTACTATTATTATTATTCTCTTTAGTTCAGGATCATATCATGTTGGTAAACAAGGTTATTGAACTTCTAAATTTACCCAATCTTTTCAAAATTGAATATGCCAGAGAGGCATGCTCCAATTTCTTTCCCTAACAAATCTAAGGAAAACACCCATACTTGCGGGCCATTGGCCTAGCACATTTCTGAATAAGATCTCCATAGAAGCACTCTTTCTTTTTACTCATCTTTTCCTTCCAATGACAACTCCTATTCTCAATAAACAAATTATTTGAGAATTTGCCTCAATTTCATTTTTTCCCCATAAATAGAATTGTTTGATTAGTGACCATGCTTTCCAAGCATGTTTATAAAGTAAAGAGAACATATGCAAACAACAGTTTGTTTGAGGGTCTCATTACACAGAAACATATAGTTCAAAGACTTATCCACCAAATTGGAATTAAGGGGGCTAAGTGGTTAACAGAGTAAAACATACAATTTCAGGGCTCATAATTCATTTTTTCCTAATTGTTTTTCACTACTTTAGCATAATGGTAGAAGTTTGCATAGCATATACTTCCGTCCCAAAAAAAAAAGTCACATGTGACACTGATTTCACATGGTAGAAGTTTGCATAGCTGTGGACTGCGTGGGGCGTGGGGGCACTTCAGTAGATAATGATAACAGTAAAGAGGATCTGCTCACCGTATGCTCAAGCAGTTCCAGTGATTAACCGTTCCCGCTGATCTAAACTATTAACTTTTAGAAGTCCAAAGAGGACTTGGAAGCCAAAAAGAGCACATAAGCCATATGCAATCATAGCAGGCATCTGTATATAAAAATGCATCAAGGTTAAACATGGCTCTGCTGCAAGCTTGCAATTGTTAACTAATTAGGCTGCAAACACCAAGCAAGATGGACTACTTACTCTTATAGAATTAAGATACAAAACTGTAGCAAGGTTAATTAAGCTTCCAGCTGCGACTGCCTGTTGATTTGTATCCCAGGAAGAGAGGTTTACAAGCATTACATCAATTATAAGTAAACGTGAAGGTAAAATATTGTATTACCAATTAAAGTAGGGAAAACTGTCAATTTGGTCATCATACTATCACGAAAACGTCAATCAAGTCCTCACACTTTAATAAAAATCAATCAAATCCTTGAACTTTGAAAAAACGTTCAATTGAGATAATTAGGAGGTCACCCGCTGATGTGGCGCACACGTGACGGTCCGTGTGTGCCACATCATCGGGAAATGGCTAACTGGGCTTCCTCGTGTGCGCCATGTCAGTGGAGTCATTGTTGACTGGGCTGCCACATGCCACGTCAATGGGTGACTTGCTGACGTGGCGGGTAACCGGCTAATTGACTCAATTGATTGTTTTTTCAGAGTCAAGGGAGATTTGATTGATTTTTTTAAACGTACGAGGACTTAATTGACGTTTTCGTGATAGTACAAGGATCAAATTGATAGTTTTCCCATTAAAGTAAGTTTGGAACACGGAAATTTTTAGAGAAAGAAAATATGGAGCACAGAATAGGAGAAGTTTGGATGGGGAGGAAATTGCAGGGGGGATAATATATTGGTTCAAATTCGATTTATTTTTTATATTTGTTCAAGAGAAAAAGGGAAAATAAGCTCTTGAACTATTTGTGATTCTGCAATCAGGAACTTGAACCGGAAGACTTGCAAATACACCCCTCAACTCATTGAAAATTAAGCGATCGGATCCTTTTTACCTGCTGGTGCCGGTAAAAAACGATCTGATTGCTTAATTTTCAATGAGTTGAGGGGTGTATTTGTAAGTCTTCCGGTTCAGAGGTCTGATTGCATAATCCCAAATAGTTCGAGGGCTTGTTTTCCCCTTTTCTCTTTGTTCAAGCGCCATATTACTACTCCCTCAATCCCATAAAGGTTGGCCATTTTGACTTGCACATAATAATAAAGTAAAAATTGTGTGGTTGAAATTTGTGTAGAGGACAGAGAAATAGTACGAACCACAAATTTATTACTTTAAAGGGAAATGGCAAACCTTTTTGGGGCGGCTAAATAAGGAAAATTAGCAAACCTTTTTGGGACGGAGGGAGTGGTACAAAAGCACAAAAATACAAACTATGAAATGAATATTACCAGAATAAGAAAACTTACACTTCCGACTGTATGTTGAACAGCAGCAACACGTTGAAAAGCCCTTTCAGACTCCAATGCTCTAACTCGAAGTTTCAGATCACCTTGTTCCTGTGACGTGATGACGTCACAATAAAAGAAGGTAAACATGATAAATTGATAATGCATGGTTAAAACTTGAAACTAAGTGGGAATAGGGGCACTAAACCAATCCTAGCAACCACTGCTGCATAAACAACCTAAGAAGTCAAATAATCCTTTGTACCTACCAGTCGCTGGATAACTTCAGCAAGTTTCTCAATCCTATCAGCCTGCCTAAATAAGTTGAAAAACGCACGAGATTGTCTGTCCCATCTCATCCTCAAATCCTGGAAATGAGTGGTAGATATGTCAAAGCAGAAACTCAGTACTCTCCCTCCTGCCCTGAATAACGTTCATAATTTTTTTTATGTCCATCCCAAAATAAAATACAATCCTTAAGTTATAAGGAAAGGTTTCAGTTTTTTACTTTAGTTCAGGACACATACTTATTGTCCTGACCTACAACCATAATTAGCTCCAAAAAATCACTTATCACAAGGAAAACTTGGACATCAAACGGCAATAAGAAGTTATTCATAGGGTACGGAAGGAGCATAGCTTTGGAGAACAAAACGATGTAAGCTTAAGTGTGCTTTGCCTTTATAATAAGTTCAACTCCAGCTTCTCGAAACCTGAGCAATTCCAGTGCATACCTACCGGACAAAAAGATTTTCAAGTAAGCAGAATATTGGTCTTTGCAGCCAACGTTTTACTCCATATTTTACTTTTGCTCTTCTTATTTTCTTTGAACACGCACCTGAGGAATCTAGAGTGGGTTGAGAGTCGAATATTATGGTAAATTATGAGATGCAATGTTAAAAAGAAATTATCAGATCTGGGATGCAAAGTAAAATATTGGGGTAAACAGGGAGTGCAAAGACCAATTTTCTGTAAGAAGAAAGGAGACTAGTTCCATCATCCGCGAAATTCCATTGGCTAAATGACAGCTAAAGTAGTACTCACGGCTTAGCAATCTCAGATATATCAAACCGTGGATCGAGGCCCTTCCCAATGCCATCCAGCACTGTAAAAGATTTTAGGAGAATATCATACATAGAGAAGAAATACATTAGTACATAAAAATGAATTAATCACAATATTGACTAAAAGACCTGAAAATGCTCTAACAACAAAAGTAAAAGTGGCAGGAAAGCGGAACGGCTGATCTGCTGCAATGGATAACAAATCTTCGCCTGATAAAAGGCACTAAATAATATAAATAAACACCAAAATGGAAATTATTTATCCATTCAGCAGAAAAAAAAGCAGATAAAGGAAAAAAATGAGCAATAAACAAGTCAAGATCACAGAAATGACAAAATTTGAGGGTATCAAGGGTGGATTACCAATTGCAGCTAAGCGTTGCTTCCTCTTTGCCATCTTTTCTTCCTTGCTCAAAGGCTTTTTAAATCCATGTTCTGTTTTTCCCAACTCCCTCTCCATGTTTTGTGCAGCAAGGCGCTCTTCAAAACTACAAAATTAACCATCAAGTTTGCAAGGTGATGCATTTCTGTGGTGGTTTGAAAATTGAAATAAATAAAATACAATAAGCAAGATAACGTATTATCCTTGATTCCAAATCCCACTATTTCAGCTATGTGAACCTTTAGGCACTCTGTGGTCCAACTAAATTAACATTTGTAACATGTAAAATTACTAGAGTATTTGAGAGTTCATTTATATTGTGATTTTTCTTTCAAAATAACATGACAATTGAGAACCACTGTGGAACACATGAAGCATTATTGAATTTAAGAACATCATGATACCCTCTATTATTTTAAATGAATCACTAAGCTCCGATACTAATAAAGGTATCAGATAAGCAAACTAAAAAAATCGAAAATATAAGAAAACAATTATAGAAATAGAAGTCAAAATCTATATTTTTTGCATTTTTGTAAAACTATTTGTTTTTATTTTAACGTTTTTGAATAAGTCAACTACATTTTTTATATCTTATTACATTTTAATTCTATATCTTGATTTTATAACTATTAGTTTTTATTTTAACGTTTTTGAATATCTTATCTATTCTGATACTTTAACTATTTTATTTACATTTGTACATTTTTAAAAATTATGTCTTTTTACAAAAAAATATCAATTCTCTTAATTTTTTCTCAAAAAAAGACCTGATATAACAGATAAAAACTAGTAAAATGGATTGACTGATTGTTTTTCAAAGTAAGTGATACTCTTTTGGTGGGCTTAAGTGATGTATTTGAAATCGTAGAAGGGTCTATTTGGACTATTTCCCTACTACAAGAGTTTAAAATTTTAACTAGCATTTAAACTCTACTCCAGAGTCCAGAGTATTGACATATAAATTCTACAGTATGAGAACACTGTCTTTAACTTTGAGGTACACCATTAGTTTGCATAATTTGCATGAGATTTACAGCGATGTCGTTTCTACGTTTACTGAAAATCAAATATATCCATAAGTCAACTGTATTATGCTAAAAACGTAATTCCCAGTTCGCTATCTGAAGTTCACTAAAAACTTAATCCAAAATAACCTATTAAGGAAGAACTGTGCAGTTCTTCTGACAGCTGTCATGTCTCCGGTAGGAACAAGAACGCCCATTTGAATCATTGCTTGCAGAAGCTGCAATTCAAGAGTTATGTTATCTGTCTCCACATCAAATAGATTAACAGTGATTACTTTGTGGCCGCGGGGCATAGCTTACCTGGTAGGAAGAGGGTGCCATAAGGGAGAGGATCGGGGTTCAACTCCAATCAAAGACTTGGGCTTGAACCTCACTCTCTTTCTACCAGTGTGTGATCAAAGCTCAATTTACATCCTCCCATATAACTGCCCGGCCGACTCTAGGGGCCCTAAGGGATGGTTACTTTGTGAAAAGTATTTCTTTTTACTTCAGTTTTAGAGACAATTAGTATGGTGGATCAGTGGATCTACAATTTACAAATAAGTACCTTATCTGGATCCTTCTCATAAACCCCGTAAAATACTTCCAGTAAGCCTTCTCTGATATTTGAACTAATACTGCAATTAATTAAAGTTAGTCTGCTAGTGATCATTGAAATGCTCCAAAAGGGGGTGTTTGGTCAAGAAATATGAATTTCGTGTACCTTCCCATCATTCCAAAATCATAAAAGATCAGTCTTCCGCCATTAACATCATCAACAGCAATATTTCCAGGATGCTGCAATACAAAAATTAATTAAAACAAAATTTAGTCATCCATACCGACCATATGTGTGAAGGATTGATCTCATTATTTTTTTTTTGTCACTTTTCTTTTTTATCTTTCTTATCTTATTTTTCTTTTTATCTAATCTTCTTTATCTTTTTATGCTATACTTTTTATCATATCTTATCTTTATCTTTATCTTTATCTTTATCTTACCTTTTTTATCGTTTTATCTTTTGTAACCTTTTACCTTATCATATCTTTTTTATCTTTTTTAGCTCTGATCTCATATGTCTATTCATGTTAGCTGACCCCAACTCTTTTGGGACTCAGGCTTGGATGTTGATGTTGTTGTATATAAGTTGGTATATATGAACTCTAACATATGTAAGGATGTAATTTGCCTTCCTGAATTCTATCTGCTCCAACTTGTGTTCAAGTATTTCATATTTGCTGCAGAGTATAATATAAATTTAGAATAAAAACTTAGAAAGCTTGTAGATCCATAAGCAAGTAGTATGTACCCTCTTAATTCGGAGATTTTTCCAAACCCAATATTTTACATTATGAAAACTTAAACACTTCAGCATCTTTTAATCTAAGCAAGCCTCATTATTTGCAACAGAATTCCTTGTTAAATAGGCCACATATACAAAGGCTGGAGGTATTTCAAGAGCTAATTTAGTTTGTGTTCATGTTTGCCACAGCTATATCTTAGATAGCATCAACTTTTTCATATTTGAGAGAACGAGATGAATATTTAGCACATACATAGAGGCAATTTTAAGAGCCAATTTAGTTAGTGTTTATGCTTGCCACAACTAGATTTTAGAAAGCAATAACATTTGTACACTCAGAGTAAAAGATATGATAATTTAGCAGAGAAAATTCAGTTGGTAATTATGTTTGCAATCACTAATTTTATTGAACCATTTGAACATCAACATTTGCACATTCATGAGTCAAGAGAAGAAAATTTGCCAAGTTCGAGAAGAGAATATTCTGTTAAGGAAACCCACAGGATCGGCATGAAAAAATCCATGAGAAAGAATCTGCTCCAGGTAAGATTCAACAGCATATCTCCCCAGCCTGGTGAGAATATGAAACAAAAATGGAAATGCAAATTTATTGAAGTATGAAGCCTATGCTCATCCTCAATCAGAAAGGGAATTATGATAGCAATCCAAATGAAGTTAATCTGATGTTTATGGTAAATTCCAAAAAGAAATTATGAAGTAGTCTGTAAGTCACCTCTTCCTATCAACTCCTAACTCATCTAATGCGTGTATCCTATTTATTTTAATCCCTGGGACATACTCCATGGTGAGGACCTAGAAAGAAAGAAACAATCAGTTGCATATATTAAACAAAAATCAAAATTAATATGCCAAAAGAAATGTGGTTACTAAAAGTTAAAACCTGAGGAGTCGTGTACTCCCAATATATCATTGGTACTTTCACATAGTCCATGTTTTTAAAGTTCTTTGCAAATAGCTCAGCATTGGCAGCTTCTTTTAAGTAATCAATTTCCTGGAGATATCAAAATATGATCTCTTTTTGTAAGTGGGAAATAAAAATATGATTTCTTGTGACTAATAAAGCTGAAAAGCAGAAAATTGTAGAAAAGAGGTAAATCGGCTTGAACAATATTTGCAAAAAATGCCTTAGCAAATTAGCAAAACAGAGTTTTCTTGGCATTACATTATCCAGTTGTGAATAACAAGCCTTGGCAGGTATCAGAGAACAACTTGACACACAAAAAAATGATCAAAATCACTCATTAATTGCATGAAATTTATCCATATCGGTGATTTGTGTTCCAATTTTATACAAAGGGTTAAAGAGTTTCTAAAGAGCAACAGGTTTCTCGCAACCTGATACAAGACATTTGCACACTCATCATAGATAGCGACCCAGTCCCTTTTTGCACCATCAGACTTTGGATCAATCTTTTGAAGATATTCAGCTATCACCTAGAAAAAAAATAACTAAATGATGAAATCGCAATATAATGTACAAAAAGTTTGTTGGCAAACGGCAATACAAAACTTAAAAATGTATGGCATGATAAAAGACAGAGTGAGATTGTTAAGAAGTGTTAGCAATGCTGGATAGCTAAAACTCAGCCATTAGGCGCCACAATAGACCGGTGTTCTACACAAATTTCCTACAGTAACTGGCACATAATCTGTCATGCCATTCCACTATGGTCTCCATTTAACAGCACAACTATCAAGGTTATGATAAATTTCTCAATTAGCTACTAATCCTGACAGCCTGATCACTCTGTGAGATGTGAACAGCTAAAGTCCTGAACTAATGACACGGTATCAATAGTAATTTTTATAAAGGTAACATTGACAAGGAGTTCACTAAGGGAGTCCAAAGCACTCCCTCCGTCCCAAACTAATAGTCAGTTTAGCAAAAAAAAAACACAAAATAAATGTGACATAGGAATCGAATGCATAAATTCTGATCTTCCAAATTTCCCCATAATAACTCTTACATAGATGCTTATATACCGTGCAGAGAAAAAAATGCATTCAATATTAAACATAAATAGGGGTACGAAAGTCATTCTGTAAGACTCTAATATAGGAGCACTTTTCTAAAGTGTCCAATAACCTTGGGATGGAGGCGATACTGAATCAATATGAGCATCCTATAAAATGGGTAGCCATGATGACAAGCAGACTTGCTAGGGACTACATAAAGAATCCTACTGGTATAAAATGTACACAAGTCTAAGAAACAAACCCTCAAGTTTTTAAGGTCAATATCAAACAGATCCTTAAGTCCTGGCCTTTGCACCTTAACAACAACTTCATGTCCTTTCAATGTTGCGCGATGCACCTGGCCTGCATAAGACAATGCAATGAATAATACTCCTTCCCCCAATTTGTAAGTTATTATCATTTTCCTAATTAGAGGTTAGAACTCCACTTAATTTTTACTTTCCAATTTTATCATTTTCTCTACTATTTTGTCTTTTATTTTCTGTGGGACTCGTGCTATTTTTTCTTCTTTTTAAAGCTTAAACTTACTATAGAACAAGATTAACAGCTATTTCTTTTATTTTCATAGAAAGTGTGTCAAACCTAAATGTATCTTGAATTATGGGATGGATGTAGTATATGAACCTAAATGTATCATATTTGACATTTTGGGAACCTAAAAGGATGACCATCTACAGTATATTTATTACGTAGTAATTGAGACAAAATGTATTTTAGTTAGAGGCTACATTAAAAATTACCAAGGCTAGCAGCGGCTATTGGTTCACGGTCAAATCTGTCGAATATATCATCCAATGGAGCTCCAAGTTCTTCTTCAACTATTGATACAACATTATCCGATGGAAATGGCGGGACTTGATCCTAGATCCCATGCAAAGATTTAATAATTTATAAAAACACAACTAACAAAATCGTGATAAGTTTGGGATAGTACAACAGCATCCAAGCCTTAGTCCCAAAAGAGTTTGGGGTCAACTAACATGAATCGCCATATGTAATCGGAGTTAAAAAAGGAAAGAAAAGTGTTAGAACCTCCAGGAATCCAGAACAATTACAGAAGGATGAATAAGAAACACAATGGAAAAACTTTATTGAATCCAAGAAGATGAACAGTAATCTGTACAAAGGCAGAAGCCCCCAAAGCCGAAGCTCCCAAAGAAAGAGATTATTAGTCTCAGTCTTCCCAAGTCCCAAGACAAAGAATCCAAAAGCCTCCTACTACCTTCCCTCTACATCTATTTATACTATAATACTGCCTAAGCCCCTATTACAACTATTATTATTATTATTCTTTCTATTATTAATCTAATAGGTAGGTCTCTATCAATACTCCCTCCCTAAACATCCACCTTGCCCTCAAGGTGGGCGGTAGGAGACAGCCAAGATCTTTTGCTCCTTCTTCTTCCTTGCACTCCTACCTTCCCAATATCTCACTGGTTTCCGAGCAAAGAGCTTCAGTATTAGATCTTCACAACTCTGAGATGTTTCTGCAGCATAGAATGTTTCTGGTGAAGTATCTTTCTCTTTCTTAGTCTTAAGGCCTTCAATAGCCACCCATATTTTCATTCTTTCCTGAGGTATACCCATTACAACAGCAGCAGAATTTATATTCATGTCCTGAACATCAGGATTCTCATCCCTTTTAACCTGCTCAACTCCATTTGACTTTTCTACCTTTGGGTTAGGATTAACATCAAATTTATGTGGTTCTATCATGCTTTTCAGTAAAACAATGTCATCCACTGCTGCACTTTGAGTACACCCAACATCATGCCACCCCACCACTTCCATAGAAACCCCCCACCAAAAACTCTCTGCCACTGCACATTTCTTAAAAGAAGAGTCCATTTTCAAAATGGTACAATCTTTGCTACTATGAAGAAACACATAAACCAAGCAACACTTTGAGGCTGAGAATACAAAGTCAGCTCCTGCATCACCAAGTACATCAGCCCTACTTATTTGGTTCCATCCTTTCTTGTCAGATGAGGGAAGTTTGTTTTTTCTAAAAGAACTCAAATCTTTTCTGCCATTCTTCAGGCTGGAGGAATCATGAAGCATAGAATCCAAATTGATGTAGCAGCATCCTTTGTGAGTTTTCCCAAAAAAAACGTCTATGACAGGAAAAGAATAACCCTCCATTTCCCTCTGCAATCCTCTGACCAGAGTTGTAAGGAAAGGGATAATACCTTCCTTATTGTCTGATGAAAATCTCATAGATTGATTAACCTCCTCTTCAGAGTCTAGTTCCGTAACTGAAGGGACCACCAGGTTTAATTTTGTGTTCATTCTTGTTGGTGGGGTCCCCTGAAATTCTTTTTCTGATGCGCCTATGTCAAAAGTTCTTGAAGCTGATGACCCTTGCGAACGGTGTGGAACCACAAGCGATGATGATCTGTGTGCTGACGAGCGGTGAGAGTCCGCAAGTGAAGAAGCATGTGAACTGATAGAATAACTCAGCGACGAAGATGAAGATTCTTCTCTCACCCGCGTTTTTCTTGGACACGAACAATAAGCCGTCGAAGAAATCTTTCTCGATCGGAAATTAGAAGAAACACTTCACGACTGAGAACTAGGAGAAACAGTGCGCGACTTTGTTTGCGAGCTTTTGAGCGATGGCGACCTACCTCTTTTCCGCGATTCAGTCTGCGAACTTCTGCGCTCCCTCTTTTCCGCGATATTCCCCATTTTTCCGCGCGAAGCCTTCTGTGAGTGCGAAACAGAAGAAACAGTTTGTGACTCCATATGTGAACTGGTGAGCGACTGCGATGAACAATTTCTAGGGTTCCCCGCTCGACGTGCTATGTTACCACTCTCTCCCTGATCGCAATTTCTTGCGTGTCCATGGTGCGCAGTACTTGATCTATGCGAATGACTCCTCGAGATTCTGACCTTCAATTCTGCGATGCTAGCTTGCATCGCCGCTTGCATCACGGCCATATTAGCCGCTATATTCGCCATCCTAGCTTGCATTTCACGCTGATTCCTCTCCACTTCAGTGAGTCATCCCTCCATTTTCACGCGTGGGTATCTCAGCGATCGACGGCTCTGATACCAATGTTAGAACCTCCAGGAATCCAGAACAATTACAGAAGGATGAATAAGAAACACAATGGAAAAACTTTATTGAATCCAAGAAGATGAACAGTAATCTGTACAAAGGCAGAAGCCCCCAAAGTCGAAGCTCCCAAAGAAAGAGATTATTAGTCTCAGTCTTCCCAAGTCCCAAGACAAAGAATCCAAAAGTCTCCTACTACCTTCCCTCTACATCTATTTATACTATAATACTGCCTAAGCCCCTGTTACAACTATTATTATTATTATTATTCTTTCTATTATTAATCTAATAGGTAGGTCTCTATCAAAAAGATAAAAAGACAAGATAAGATAAGATAAACAAGATAAAAAGGATAAAAAAATATAAGATAAAGATAAGATAAAGATAAAAAGATTAAAAAAAGTTTGGGATAGTGCTCTTCGAAAATAAGATATTAATGGAAAAAGAGAGACTAAGTCAGCCAGTGAATGCCAAATCATCTGATGATTAGGTTTTTAACTTACATGTCAGACTGTCAACAAGCTAACTAGGAAACGTGGGATGCATCATGCATGTCTTTGGGGGTTCAGGGGGTGTGGTGGTTTTTTAAGTTCAGTAGCTCACAAAACAATTTGAACTCGTTGGAGGACATGTTTAAATCATTTCCTAAAAATAAATAAATACTGCAGAGATAAGACATTGGAAGTTGAAGAAACTGCTCTTCAATCGATCGTGATGATGTGACAGAAAATTTTAGACAAAGTGACAAACAGGTTGTAATGAATCATGATGTCATTTTAAAAAGTATATCAGCCATAAACAACCACACTGTTTACCAAACTTATGAAAGCAAGACTACCATAACAGCATGCAATAAAAGAGTCAATAACCATGTACAATGTTTTCAATAATATATAGCCGTGCAATATTTTTAACTGCGGACCTGAAGTTCTGACAATTGATCAACGTATTCCTGAGCAAGAATATCCACTCTAGTGGAGAACTGCTGGCCAATCTTGATAAATGTAGGTCCTAATCTCAAAATATTTTCCTTTAACCATTTTGCAAGAATCTTCCTCCTGTTGACTTTCTTCTCTTCTGACATCCCTCCTGGAAATGTGCATCTCATTGTGTTATATACATGTGGTCAAAAAAACTAAATGTCAACTGTTATAAGTAGAACGATGAATGGTTACAAACATTGCATTAAATGATTTTATACATGCAAGTTATTCTCAAAAATTGACAAGGGGTCAAAATACAAGTATAAGTAACAATGAACTAATGTCTATCATTTTACATGTTCGGCTAAAAAACAACTTAGTAAGCTACTCAAAATAATAATTTAGTGATTGCAGATCAGTTGAATGATAGGAACCGGGCAGATTAGTGCTAATAAAAATAATAATAATAATAATAATATTAATAAGAATAAGTGTACGGGTAGTATAAATAGAAGGGAAGGGAGGAATAAGGGGTAGGCAGAAATTAGTCGGAACTGGAATTTGGGACAGCGAGACCTCTCGAAGAGTCTCATCTATTTTCTGTTTCTTCTCTTCTCTTTTTCAGCCATTGTAAGACTGAGATTACGATCAATATACTACAAATTTCTGCTGCGTTTTGCTGAGTACCTATCATTGGTATCAGAGCACTTGCTCCTGGAGTCTGAACCGGTCATTAGCATCAACGAGCAGGAATGATGGAGGGAATTCTGTACGTCACCGCGAATGGAGAAGAGGATGGACAATATTAAACATCATTTGAAAGAGATGAGAACGATGATGGACGAGTCGCTGGACAGGATGCGTGATAGATTGCTTCAAGCCTTCAACTTCGTCATAGGCGACCTAGAGGTCGATCCAGGACAGTCAGCATCGTCGTTCGTCGCTTTTCCTAGTTCGAAATCATGAACGGCTTCTTCCAGTTTGCAGTCGTGAACTTCGTCTCTCAGTTCGCAATCGCGAACTTCGTCTCCCAGTTCACACTCACGAATCGTTTCTATTGTTGGCAGATTTTGGCTCAATCGCCAGAATCTTCTTCCGGTACGCCAGTTTCATCGCTATCAGATTCTCTGAACTCGCAGGTTTCGTCTCAGTCGCAAGCAATGCCTCCTAATTCACAGATGTCATCACTAGCAGTTTATCACAGCTTGTCCTCGCTAGTCGCTTCTCACCCACGAATTCTTACCTATGATGTTCGGAGGTGTGCTCATGGACTAGACAGAAACCCAGAATATTTTAAATGTTTGATTGGTAGAGTTCATGAACTTGAGTTGGGTGCTATAATGTGCACCGTCATTTATCACAGGGAAATTTGGAAGGGCTGAATAAGTTTGATGGTTTCAAGTTTGATGGTTTTACTGGGAATTGGACAGAAAAGGTTGGTTATGCTACTGATGTGTTTCTGATGCTTGACAAGGATATCAATCCTGGTCTCCGACTCTCCACCTAGATGCCTTAAATCATTGTTGAACATGTTAGGGGAATGACAGTAGTTAGTAGTTTGTATACCTGTTCAAGATGGAGGTGCAGGTTTTGACTACCCGTTACAAATGGCCAGTACCTCATCCTTGCTTATTTTAGATCCACAGGTTTCACCTGATGGGACCAGACTTATAATTGGGAAAGACAGTGAGCTTAATGTATTGGACCTCCTCTACAATAACTCTCATCAATTAACATCTGGTGTCAAAGGAAATGTAAATATGCATGATCTTGCTAAATATATAGCCCTGGAGGAGATGGGAAGAAGGAGTGTGTTATGGTGGTCACTGGACATCAATTATTTAATATTCACAAATGTTGATGCATATGATATACCTCCTCTCAGAATCATACACCATGGTAAAAGAAGGACTGGTCCAGAGGCACAGTTTCTGGGGAATCATATGTCAATGATCAAATCGGGGCAGTGACTTCACATGGAGGTCATGTAACTTGGATGGATGTTGTGTGCGGAGGAAGGTTTGCTGTTGAAGATGAAGAGGCTGAAACAACAGTGTGCAATCAACAATCGACTTCTGGGATGCACTCTTTTACTGTGTTTCAAGCAATTTTGACCCCCAAGGTTGAAGACGGACTTCCTGCTCCTCATATTTCAAAGGATCATCAAGACTATTTTCCACCGGTTTCTGGGGATAATATACTAGAAAGGAGCATATAACTTCTGGATATGTACCACTTCAAACGTCACTTTCCTCATTTCAGTCTGTTGCAATAAGCAAGATGAGTGCTAGGATTGGTTGCACAAATGCCCTTGCAGATGGGGAGGCACCTAAAGGTGAATCATTCAAACTATCAAAGTGGTTTGTGGATTTGAGGATTGAGGCGAGCCCAGCAGTTAAATTGAATAGCAAGTTATATACACAAGAGAACTATGGCGAGCCAAGCTCAAATCGACAGTTTCAGAGACAGAAGTATGCTAATTGCTAACGTGAAGTGGTATTGTAGATTATTACAGATAATTACTCATCCGATTTAGCATTTATGAGGAGATATCTTAGAGATCTCAGAATCTCTAAATATCCCCAATTATCTTGTCTTTATTAAGGAATCTTAATTAGGAGGATTCCTTCCTTATTCCATTTTTCTCTAGCTATATATATTCTGTATTCATCTCATTGTATTACACAGAATAAGAGAAATAAAATACATTTTACTTTCTCAAGTTATTTCTACATGGTATCAGAGCGTGGTTATTCTCTAAAATGATTAAGTTCGGATCCTATGGGATGACCACCGAGAGAGATGGATCTATCCCAGTCACCTCTGAACATTCAGAGGTTGTCCCAACTGGAGATGGCAGCAACCAGAATATCAATGGAAGCACAGTCATCACTCCTAATCAGTCAGATTCGATTATTACTTGCCATAAACTGAATGGTAGTAATTATCTACAATGGTCTCAGTCCGTTATGATGTATGTGTGTGGAAAAGACAAGGAGGACTATTTGACAGGTGATGCACCTGCTCCAGATCAAGGAGATCCAGGCTACAAGAAGTGGAAAAAGGAGAATTATACTGTGATGTCATGGCTCATCAATTCCATGACAACCAGTATAGGAGAAAATTTCCTACTATACAAAACAGCTCAAGAGATCTGGGAGGCTGTGAAAGAAACATACTCAACTTCATATAACACTTCTGAATTATTTGAGGTTGAATCAATGCTACATAACCTTCAGCAGGGAGAATTGAGTGTAACTCAATACTTCAGCAACCTTGTGAGACTCTGGCAGCATCTTGATGTGTTTGAGACATACAATTGGTCATGTTCTAAGGATAAGAAGTTATATCAGGAGATCTGTGAAAGGAAGAGAGTCTTCAAATTCCTGTCAGGTTTAGACAAGAGTCTAGATGAGGTTAGGGGCAGAATAATGGGAAAGAAACTCACCCTTAGAGAAGCCTTCTCAGAAGTCAGAAGAGAAGAAAGCAGAAGGAAGGTAATGATGGGTCTGAAATCTCAAGGCCAACAACAAAATATTGAAGGGTCAGTCTTATATACCTCTTCCGGACAGAATGAAAACAAGAAAAAAGGGAGGCCATGGTGTGATCACTGTAAGAAACCAGGCCATACCAAAGAAACATGCTGGAATTTGCATGGTAAACCTAAAGATTTGAAACCAAGCAAAGGGAAAAGAGCCTATGTAGCTACTGGAGATAAAGAAGATATGGGCACTTCTAATCTTGCTGCATTTACCAATGAGCAGATTGAGGTTCTTCAACATCTAATAAGTCAGAGCAAGGGGCCTGCACCATCAACTAGCCTTACTGCTCAGACAGGTAATGCCCTAACAACCCTAGTTGCACACAATCAGCCCTATTGGATTGTTGATTCAGGGGCATCAGATCACATGACTGGAGACAGTAAGTTTTTTGCTGAATTGATCCCTATGAAGAATAAGGTAACTGTGAAGATTGCTGATGGAACTACTTCAGCAATAAAAGGGACTGGAAGAGTCAAAATTTCTGACAAGATAGTGCTTAACAATGTGTTATATGTTCCAGATTTAAAGTTTAACCTCTTATCAGTCAGTAAACTGAATAGTGATACACATTGCCTAACTAAATTCTCTTCACAATTGTGTGAATTTCAGGATTTGGATTCGGGGAGGATGATTGACAGTGCTAAGCAAAGTGGTGGACTCTATCTTCTGGAACATTCACCACATTCACCTAACTCCACCAACAAGACAACTTCCAGTGAGAGTCAATTCAACCATAAGTTCTTAGGGAGTCTTAGTAGGAGTCAATTTGATACTCAAATTCAGTTATGGCATTATCGTCTTGGTCATCCTAATGTCTTGTACTTAGAAAAAATATTTCCTTCATTATTCATAAATAAAAGTTCTGCCTTTGATTGTGAATTTTGTCAACTTGCTGAACATACTAAAAGTCACTATCCCAGTCTACCTTACAAACCATCTAAACCTTTTTCTCTCATCCACAGTGATGTTTGGGGCCCATCTAAGGTCAAAAATCTCACTAGCTCAAGGTGGTTTATTCTGTTTATTGATGATCATACACGTCTATCCTGGGTCTTCCTCATGAAAGATAAGTCAGAAGTCAATATTATCTTTCAAAAATTCTATTCTATGATCAAAACTCAGTTTCAAACCAAGATTCAGGTTTTTAAAACTGATAATGCCAAAGAATATTTCTCATCCAATTTAGGAGAGTTTCTGTCAAAAAAGGGGATTATACACATTAGCTCCTGTGTTGACACCCCACAACAGAATGGGGTGGCAGAAAGGAAGAATAGACACTTACTGGAAGTTGCTAGAGCCCTTATGTTCACCACTCACACTCCTAAACACTACTGGGGAGAGGTTGTCCTAACTGCAGCTTACCTGATAAATAGGATGCCCTCCAAAACTCACAAATTTAAAACACCATACCAAATCCTATCTTATCTACATCCTCACATCCCTATTACCAATCTTCCACCAAAGGTCTTTGGTTGCAAAGCATTTGTTCACAACCATTCTCCAGTTAGGTCAAAACTGGATCCTAAATCCTTACCTTGTATATTCATACGATATGCTGCCAACCAAAAAGGATATAAATGTTATTCTCCTGCCACCAAAAAGGTCTACATCACAATGGATGTAAACTTTTTTGAAAATCAGCCTTTCTATTCCAAAACTGAATTTCAGGGGGAGAACCACAATGAAATCCAGTCTCTGAATCCTATTTCAGACACTATTCCAGACCTCCAAGAATCTGAATCTAACCACACTGAATCCATACTCCCAGACAGACCTGAATCAAACCCTCCAGACAATACAGTCTCTCCACCAACCACACCATTTCAGCCACCAACTTTATCACCCCAATCATTACCCCAAAATCCTACACTAAATCAAAATTCCCCATTCTACAAGAATACCTATAAGCGGAAACCTAGAACCAGAGTTCCAGAAGAAGAGCACATCACTCCAATTAACACCACCCAATCATCTGACTCAAATTTGAGTCTTGATGACAAAGAGGTTGAGGCTATAGAAGGAGATGATGAGGAACCAGACTTGTGCCTATTGCTATCAGAAAGGGAGTAAGGGAGTGTACCAAGCATCATATCTATAATTTTGTTTGTTATAAGAAACTATCAGCAAACTATCAAACTTTTATTTCAAAGATTGATAGTATTCAGGTTCCTAACAACATCAAGGAAGCCCTTGAACATCCAGGGTGGAGGAAGGCTGTCCATGATGAATCAGCAGCATTGAAGAAGAATGGAACTTGGGTGCTTACAGATTTGCCGGCAGGGAAGAGAACTGTTGGCTGCAAGTGGGTATTTACAGTTAAATATCAGGCTGATGGAAAGATTGAAAGGCTGAAGGCAAGGCTGGTTGCTAAGGGGTTCACCCAAGCTTATGGCATTGATTATTCAGAGATATTTGCACCAGTGGCAAAGTTGAACACCATTAGAGTGCTGTTATCACTCGCAGTGAACCTAGACTGGCCATTACATCAACTAGATGTTAAGAATGCCTTTCTTAATGGAGACCTAGAAGAGGAAGTATTCATCGATGTACCACCTGGATTAGAAGACTTGGGGAAATCTGGTCAGGTTTGCAGACTGAAAAAGTCCTTGTATGGACTAAAGCAGTCTCCTAGAGCATGGTTTGATAGGTTCACAAGATCAGTTATTAAACAAGGGTTCATGCAATGTAAGGCAGACCATACACTATTTGTAAAGAGAGCAGACTCTGGAAAATTGGCTATTCTTATAGTATATGTTGATGATATTATTATGACTGGGGATTATAAGGCTGAATTGGACAGATTGAAGGCTCATCTAGCAAGAGAATTTGAGATCAAGGAGCTAGGCGAGTTGAAGTACTTCCTGGGAATGGAAGTGGCAAGATCTAAGAAGGGCATTTTCATTTCACAAAGGAAATATGTTCTAGACTTGCTAAGTGAAACTGGAATGCTTGGGTGCAAGCCTATGGACACTCCTATGGATATATCAAAGAAGTTAGGCAGTGAGACTGAAAGTCCACCAGTTGATAAGGGTAGATATCAAAGGCTGGTAGGGAAGCTAATCTACCTATCTCACACACGGCCAGACATTGCTTTCTCAGTAAGTGTGGTAAGTCAATTCATGAATGACCCAACCGAGGAACACCTAACTGCAGTGTATAGAATTCTGAGGTACCTAAAAATGACTCCTGGAAAAGGATTGTTGTTTCAGAAACAAGGGACAAGGAAGATTGAAGTGTTTACAGCTGACTGGGCTGGAAGCCTCTTAGACAGAAGGTCAACTACTGGTTATTGTACCTATGTATGGGGTAATTTAGTCACCTGGAGGAGCAAGAAACAATCAGTGGTTTCTAGAAGTAGTGCGGAATCTGAGCTCAGAGCTTTAACACAAGGAATCTGTGAAGGATTGTGGTTAAGAAGATTGATGAGTGAGCTCAAACTCCCATTTGAAAGCTCCATCCAGATCTCATGTGACAACCAGCCTACTATCAGTATTGCTAAGAATCCTGTTTATCATGACAGGACCAAACACATTGATATAGACAGAAGGTTCTTATCAGAGAAGATTGCAGCAAAGGATATCCAGCTGAACTATGTTCCAACCAGACAGCAAATAGCGGATATACTCACCAAGGCACTTCCCAGAATTCAGTTTGAAGACTTATCTAGCAAGCTGTGCATGGATGATATCTTAGATTGAGGGGGAGTGTAGATTATTACAGATAATTACTCATCCGATTTAGCATTTATGAGGAGATATCTTAGAGATCTCAGAATCTCTAAATATCCCCAATTATCTTGTCTTTATTAAGGAATCTTAATTAGGAGGATTCCTTCCTTATTCCATTTTTCTCTAGCTATATATATTTTGTATTCATCTCATTGTATTACACAGAATAAGAGAAATAAAATACATTTTACTTTCTCAAGTTATTTCTACAGGTATTATTGTGACAAAAAGGGGTATGGGTTGCAAGTTCTTGAAGATGTATTTGAAGGGTGTTGTACCATTGAAGACGTTGGAGAAATACTCGATGTGCAGGTTTATGAGGGCCTGAGGCACAGCCAAAGGAATACGTACTGAAGGGTCACAATCATTTTTACTTTATGACACTCAATGGTAGTGAGGTAATTAATGCATGTGCTAAATGGGATTTGGGACGCTTTAGAAACCACAGCTCTTATACTAACTGCAGTACAGAAAATTGGATGGTAAATGAAGACGTTTGCATAGGGCTTGTTGCAGACAATGAGTTGAGTAACATCAAACCTGCATTCAGCACATTGATAGTTTCAGAAGAGAGAATCTTTGAGGAGTTTCATGAAAGCAAGAAATCATATATCTTATTGAGTGCTTGAAGGCTACTGAAAAGAATGAAACTTCACTAAACAGATCTGCCACAGAAACGTCGCTGATTTTGAAAGATCAAGTACTGAAGCTCCCGGTTAAGAAATCAGTGAAGTACTGGGAAGGGAGAGGTTCAAGGATGAAACTGAATTCCAGGTTTGTTTCCTATCACCCACCTTGAAGATAAGGTGGTTGTCTAAGGGGGGAGATACGATAGGAACTGGGCAGATTAGTGCTAATAATAAAAATAATAATAAGTGTACGGGTAGAATAAATAGAAGGGAAGGGAGGAATAAGGGGTAGGCAGAAATTAGTCGGAACTGGAATTTAGGAAAGCTAGACCTCTCGAAGAGTCTCATCCATTTTCTGTTTCTTCTCTTTCAGCCACTGTAAGACTGAGTTTACAATCAATATACTACAAATTTCTGCTGCGTTTTGCTGAGTACCTATCATTGAACCTCTAATGAATCAGTTCTAAGTACAATTTGTGACAATACATGTGCACAAACATTAACTAATAACAAAAATAGTATATCTTCAGTATTTACAAATTCATATTCAAGTAAACAGATCACACAACTAGCTTAGTAGCTTTCATTATGACACAAAATATTCATGCAGCTGTTACGAGAGTGATTGGAACTCCTTTGGGATCTAGAAAGCAGATTATAGGAGAACTGAAGAAAAAATAAGCCTAAGCTAGAATTAATAAGTGCCGACCTTGTCAAGGCAGAAAATAATAAATTCTTCAAAGGTAATTTATTAGTCAATATTGGAGATCCTTGTATAAATTTATTTAAAAAAAGGATGACACAACCGGTCAGACAGTTATCTGGCATGATGTAAATTGAGTTTTGATCACACAGCGGTGGAAAGAGACTGGGGTTCCGGTCTATGTCTTTACTTGGAGACTTGGAGTTGAACCCGGAACATTTCCCTTGTGGCACCCCTTCCCATCATGTGAGCTACGCCCCCGACACTAGAGATCCTTGTATAGATATTACGAAACAAGCCCTAATCAGCTAATCATACTAGGATACAAAAAGCTAAGGGCTAATAAGAATCAGACTAAAACTGAATATGGAATTAACAATATCAATACTAAAGGAAAACAAGTACTCAGTAATAGTAATAACAATAATGATAATCATAATAATACACACCCATATCAGCAATTAAATATAATGAGAATGACTGACCTCGATAAGAGAACTTCTGATTGTTTAGCCAAGCTTTGAAGATAAATGTGAAAATAAATCTCCATATCTCCAGTGTCCTTTGAATTGTTGAATACGTTTTAAATCTGCTCCACCGACCACCAGGAGCAACTGATACCTGAGCTTGATACATCCCTTTCCTTCTAAACCAAGCCTCCTCTTGCCCAATCTCCTCCACAGTCTTCTTCTTTTCAAAGACCTCGGTCGCATTCACTTCAAGCGCCTCCTCTCTAATCCCATTTACGTACTTCACTAAACTTTGATTCTCAGTCCTGAGTCTCCCATTGGGATATTTCTCGGTCAAACCAGTAGTGTACCCGTTCAAACCCCCATTAGCAATACCGCTCACTTTCCTTGTGAACTCTCGGTCGCTCTCCTCCAATACAACGGTCTCCTCTCGCCGCAAAGCCGAAGTTCCAGGCTGGAGAACAGTATTCCGCTTAGCGTGGGCGTGCAACTTGGCGAGGGGAAGTCGGACTCCTCTGGAACCTGGGTTGGGAGCAAGGAAAATCAGCTTAGGAAGCGCTGCAAACGATAAAGTAGTAGAAACATTCGCCATTTCTGTCGACTGTTTATATAAATGATTTTAAGCTATGCAATATTGAAATCAACATATCAGTGGCAACACATTCGGTATCAGCTGGTTTTGTAGTGAGAGAGTGGAGAATGAGTTTGAGGGAGGGGAGTGGGGGAGGAAAGTATCATTAGTACTCCGTATAATCAAAACTCTGTCTGTTAACTCTGTCTGTTAATTAAAAATTGATCGCTGAAATATGGAGAGACCGCAGGATTGCAGTGGGATCATACCATTCTCATTACCTTTAGCACCATGCTCCACTCCAAAATTGGTGCACGGTTAAAAAGTGCAAATAAGTTTCTTAAAAACATGAGGCTTTGTCCGGCTGTCGCTATTTAGAGCGTTTTCCAATGGAATTTTTTGATGAAATTTTTTGAGCATTTTCTTCATTAAGTCTAGTTTATTCATACCAAATTTCAGCTAAAAATTCAATCGAGAAGGCAATCAAATGATTTTCTGAAATATACTGCGCTGCATAACAGCGCAGTTATCTTCAAAAATTCATTTCACTGCTGATGGATAGTCTACCCGGGGTATATATCCGAAGGGTTATTGCTGAGAATAACTTAGAGAGAAGTCAGAGCAAGTAAATGTGGAGAGAGAGTGTATTATAAATGTGGAGCGTTTTCAGCGTGGTTACAAATGGGGAAATGGGGTGCTATTTATAGTAGCAATAAATGCCGGACAGGGACACGTGTCAAGCGCTCATTGGCCGAGGGGTCACCTCAACTGGTTGGCGCTGGCAGTCGCATGTGGCCGCATTTAATGCGGCTGTTGGATGGGACGTCTGTACAGGGTACGGTGATCTGTACGCATGTGAGGCGGATATCTTGTCGAGTGAGATGCCTTCGGCTATAGAGCAGTAGCTGAGGGCTCCTCCAGCCGATGGCACCTTGGTGCCGAGGGCTCACAGTGCCGAGGGCTACTGTTTTCGCCGTTTTCTCCCAGTTTCTTAGTTTGCTTGAGAAACCCGTTCTGTGAGAGTTTAGAGCCTTCGGCCAGGGGGCCGAAGGCACCCCTGGCGCGTAGTGCGGGCTGCTTGGTACTCTGGGCGCTGTGATTTGGGCCTGTTGGGCCTTTTGGGCCTGTTGGGCCTTCGCTGGAGTAGTAGGAGTCTGTGGGCCGGGGGTTCCCGGGCCATATACTCCATCAGGAGTCCCTCACTCCTTTTGCCGAAAGGTACTTGAGGGAAAAGGAGTAATTTGTGCTTGCCTTTTGATGTTGTCCCGTCGTGATCTCTGAAGTTGGTGAGGAGTTTGTTGCTTTTATGTCCCTGCCGAAGGCAGTCCCTCAGTTACCCACATGTCGGGACTTGAGGACTTGCCTTGTCGTTTGTTGGAATTTCACTGATTTTGTAATTTAATGATTTTTCCGAGGGGGTCCTCCAGTCCCCCACTCCTTGAGGCACTTATAAAGTGGTGAAAAGGAGTAGAGTAGTTGCGTTGCTGTTGTGGGCCGAAGGCTGACGTTTTTCGTTTCATTTTGGGGGGATGTCTCGTTAAAAACCCCATTAGGAAAAACCCTGTGGGAAAAAATCCTAATGAGGGAAAAAGAGTGCACCGAATTCCCCCAATGATGAATCGAAAATGTCAAACCTTGGTAAAAAATGGAGAATGACGGGAATGCCGAAGGCTCTCTCTTCTGAGGGCTCCTGTGTTGATTAGCCGAAGGCTTGCTGTTGATGTCCTGGTGGCGCCGAGGGGGAGCCCCTCAATTCGGGGATCGAGGGCTTGCTGGATGAGGGCGACAATGGAGTTGTTACCGGGGGGTCCACTGTTTGTTGATTAGTTGGTGATGAAGATACCCGAGGGCTCCCATTACCTGTGTGCCATGGGTCATCCGTCAATGAGGCAACTCCCCGGGGGCTACCCGGTTTTGCAGTGCTGAGGGGGAATCCCCGAGGGATGCCCTGATATGAAGCCCTGGGTTTCTGAAGGAGTGATCCCGAAGGCGTCTGTTATGTGCTGTGTGGGGCACAACCCGGGGGCACTTCTGGGTGAGTGTACCCGGAGGCTATTCTTGATGAAGTGGAGTGAAGTAGAAAACTCGGGGGCTTCCAGAATATAGCCGTTGGAAATATAGCCGTTGGAATATATAACGTCAGGTTTATAGCCGTTGGGGGGGGCACGTGGCATGTAGCCATTGGCTGCTCGCGGGCGGGCGTCACCGGTTGGGTGAAACGACGGTGCGTAATGATGGCTTTGGCGGCTGGGAGCCCGGATCTCGGCCCAAGCCCGGATCTGGGAGCCTATAAATACCCCAAGCCAGGGCCATTCCTCCTTTACGCATCCAACACCCCTAGCGAAGCTCTGCAAAAAATTCTAGAGAGAGAAACTCAAGCCTTCGGTCAAACTCCTTTCAAGGTCAGTGTACCGCTTTCCCCTCAGCACTTTTTGTAAGTTCCTCCCTCTGGCCTTAGATTAGGGTTAGGGTCCCGTAGAAATCTTTCGAAACCTTAGGTGCTTTTCGTGGCAAAGAATGTCGTCCGAGAGCGATTCCCAAAACATATCGGGGGACCCTTCGGTTGATGAGGAGCATGCTTCAGATGTGGAGTCCGTGAGCGAGCCTTCGGACGGTGCTGATGCCGCCCTGGCCCGGGAGGTCCAGAAGGAACTCATTGCTGAGGTCGAAGCCGAGGGCTTCGAGCAAGAGTGCGAGGATGAAGACTTAGCCCTCGCATGGCAAACAGCGGAGGATGAGGCGCAGAATGAGAGCTCGAAGGTTACAATCGCTGTTCTCCCCCCCCCCCCCCCCCCCCCCCCCGGGGTTCTGGGGAGGCCAGTAGCTCGAGGCCGCTAGATCCGATACCTCTGAGGGCGATTTCCGGGTTGAAGAAGAAGAAGGCCGCTACCAAGAAGAAGGAGAGGGCCGTCGATCAAGGAAAGCCAGTGGACATGCCCGAGGGGTACAGTTGGCTGAACACTGAGGCCCCCGAGATTAGGTCGAAGGCTGATAGGGCAGATCTGTACGTGACTCAGCTTCACGTGGGGCCCTCGGCCGAAGTGGTGGAGCCAGGTCCCGACGACGTGCTGTCCAAGGCGCCCGAGGGGTGTATCGCCATCCACGTCCTCTCGGTTTCTATGGGACTTAGGTTCCCTCTACACCCGTTCCTCCGGGAGTACTTGAGGTTCGTTGGTTTGGTCCCCTGCCAACTTACGCCCAACAGCCACTCCTACATTGCGGGGTTCCTCCAGCTCTGCAAGTCCCGAGGGGTGAAGCCCATCCTGGATCTATTCTTCCAGAGCTTTAATTTGTGCCGGGGGGGCACGAAAACGGCGAGGGGTACGCAAACCTGCAGCAGATTGCCCGCTTCAAGCTATTCTCCGATGCTCCTTCTTCCAACAAAGGATGGAGGGAACGATGGTGCTACGTAAAGTTGGGTGAGAGCCCATTCCCGAGGGAGCTGCGTGATCGATTCCGAAGGCACGAAAAAATCAGGAGTGCTGCTCTCGAGAAAGACGGCCTAAAGCTGGCCAAGTTCCCGGAGGGGAAAAATAAGAACGTGGCGATCAAAGACTGCACCCTCGAGGAGGATTTATACACCCTCGGGTTCCGGAGGTACCGCTTCATAGGGGAGACCGATGAGAAGTACCCTCCCTTCAACAAGGCCTTCGGAGGAGCCGGAGGTAGGAGCCGAGGGCTTTAGAATTTTGTACTTAGTTTTTTTTTTGCTTGCATGTCATTGTCCCTTCGCTTAGACCCGTCGGCCTAACCCTTTGTCATATTTTTTGCAGGTATCCCCGTCTCCATGGTGAACGTGAAGGGCCTCGCTCGCCTGAAGAAACAGGACCCGAAGGGGTCGGGACAGGGCAGCCAGAAGCCCGCCACTGCCCTCTTCAAGAAAGCCGAGGGCGATGCTGCTGCCGGCAAGAGGAAGGCGGCGACCAAGGGGTCCCCCCCGGCTACCAAAAAGCCGAAGAAGGGGGATATCGCCGAGAAGGAGCCCCCGGTCATCATTGCTGATGAGCACCCTGCCTCCGGGGTGCATGTGGAGAAGCCGTCGGGCGAAACGCCGGCGGGGGCAGAGGAGTTGCTGCCTGAGGTCCTCCAAGTTTCGTTCCCGAGGGAGACATCCCTGGCCAGCGGCGCTGTTGACCCGGGGGCCATCTTGAGGGGCATAACCCCTGAGACCGATAGGGCTGCCCTCGGGGCCTATAACGATGCGGCCCTCGAGGACCACATTCTCCGCTCCTCCCTCTCTGTAAGTGTTTACTCGGCTTTCTTCCTTTTCTCCTTTGATCATACTGTGCAATTGCCTTTAACCGTTTTGGTTGTTGGTCTGCAGGCTTGTCTAGCCCTCGGTGAACATGCCCGGAGGCTTCAAGAATGGCGCCTCCATAAAGCAGAGCAGGACGCCAAGATGAAGGAGTGCATCCTCAAAAATAAAGAGGCGGTGAAGCTGGGGGCCAGCTAGAAGAGGAGCTTCGGCAAATGGAGCTAAGATTGGAGGCTGCAGAGAAGAGCAAGGCTGATGCTGAGGCCGCTGCCGAGGAGGCCAGGAGAGCTGCCAAAGAGGCCGAGGACTCCAAGGCGCTAGCCGTCGCCAAGGCTCGGGAGGAGGCCGTTGATGCCTTCGTCGCCGAGGGCTGGAGAGCCGAGGGACGCAAGATGTGGCTGTCCTCGGTCGTGGAGGCATACATCGAGGAATGGGCCGAGGGCCCTGGGTGGGAATGGATGGCCCGGAAGGGCAGAGAATATTATGAGGCCGGCGAATTCTTCACCCAGGCCCTCATCTACCGGAGGATGGCTCGGCATTTGGGCATTGAGCCAAAGGATTTTGCCCCCTCGGCATATGGCCTTCCTCCCCTGCAGCCTAATGTCCGTGAATCGCTCCCGGAAGGTGTACAGAGGCCCGACCTTGAGGACACGGAGCTGAAGAATGAGGCCGAGGACGACGCTGTTGAGGCCGGAGCGGAGGCATCGTCGAGGCCGGCTGCAGAGGGCACCCCAGTGAATGATGTTGTTCAAGTTGTAGAGTGATTTGTACTTAGAAATCTCTGAACATATTTTGTAATGAATAACATTGTTCCTTCGACTTCGGCCCGTTTGTAAATTTCACACTCACTTTTGTTTTTGATGAATGCATGCTGCCTCCGGGCTCTTTACATTTGCGTGCGCCTTATGTTTTGAATGTATGCCTTCTCCTTCTTGAATGTATGTTGTAGGACTTAGAGTATTTTCTGATTGTAGCTTTCCCTT